ATTCAACGAAAGGAGACTGCGACCACACAAAAGGCCACACCATCTTGGTCTTCATATCTTCGATCTAACAGAAATTAAACTGAGAAAAATCAACCTCATACGCTTATTTGTGTCGGGGTATGAAGCAGATCAAGCAAACCAACTTAAAGTAGCAATGTAGACTTGCCTCAAGTGAAATTTGCATTTTCAGATGCGTAGTATAGTCGAAGGGACTGGTGAGCTAGCTCCTCCTGAGTATAATAAATTCATACTGCATAGTGAAGAGGCACCCATGAAACTTTCTAGTAGTCAGGCATAGTTTGTAAGAAGCTTTAATCTGGCCTATGAAAATTTTAGAATTACCTATACAGAGTGAAGTCAGGGATAAGCAAGTCCATTCATATCGGACTCACTTAAATTACCTTAAATAGAAACAAACTGAATAAATGAGATCAGGTTAGGTAAGTAAATATTCATTGATTGTCTTCAGATGAGACTGGTTTAATAATACTTTAAACCTAACGAGGAAAACTGCAGCTAATATTAATCATTACAACTAGTATGATTAGTATATAAATGACAGAGGCCCTTAATTAGAAGGCATTAGAACTAAAATCTCAAATATTTAAAGCTGCTAATAGATTGTCACAAATGACAAAAAGGTATTTGTTTTGAATAAATCCGATTTTCGAACAGATACTATGCCAAACATAAACATTGCAAGATTGTTAAATTATTCATTATTAGTGGTAGAATTAGGCAACATGAATAATCTTGCGAACTTGAGTAGTAATAGAGCACAGGGATGCACCCTCTAAGCAATCTCAAATTCAGAAAAAGATTTAAAAAATAACGCTATCAAGCCACACTAAATCTATACTATGTACAAAAAACGTGTTGATTAAATGAAAACTTGCTCAAAGCGACGGGCGCGCTGCTGAGCCATCTTTGCACGCGGAGGAACTCCATCAACAGCTAAGAAAATTGTTTTTATAGGTTTTATCAGGCGGAACAGAAACTATAATGAAGAAAAGGTAGGTTTATGAATAAGATAATCAGTGAACGGATGGAGGTTGAGAAAAATATTGGTGCCTGATATTTTATGTAATGTACATACCTCAATATAATGTGTGATATTCTTGAATATTACTTCCTCCGAC